CTATAGGTAGCATGAGAAATTCGGGGGTGGTGTTGCTTTGAAACAGAAGTTGAATGGGAAGTCTTAAGATGGCAGAGATGCTTTGGTTTTACAAAAATACTGAGGCTTAGGGGTGATGTGTGTGATGGGACGGATTTGTGTTTACAACCCCATTTTAATTTTTTTTTTTTTTTTTTTTTTTTTAATCTGGTGGGATTCCAGGTAGTGTGGGCAGCAGGGGTTTTGCAGGGGTGTCGGGGATGGGGCTGTACCAGTCCGTGTGAGTGGACACAGGAGTGTGCAAACGGCTCTTTGTCTCCCTCTCTTGGCCCTCTCAAGGCCACGTGGAGGCTTGAGCCATTATTGTTATTAATATTTTAAATGAACGTGAGCCCAAGCGCACACGGGTTATACACTCACGTTTCAGATTGACCTCAGCTACTGGTGAATTCATCTTCAATCCAGCAAATAGATTTCAAATGATGAGAAAAAGGAAGAAGGCAGATATGGAAATATCACGGTGTTTTCATGTAAAATCAGGTGCTGAGCTCCTTCATTAGGGGTGGAGGTTGGTGGGTTTTTTAATTTTGGTTTGGGGTTTGAGGTTGGTTTTGGATGGCTTATTTTTTTTGTTACCTTGCAATTCAAGTTTTCAAACCGAAGCCAGAGAGGTATGGTTTGAAACCCAACTCCAAACTGAATGCAAGAGCTGCTGAGCTCTCTTTGACTTTATTTGGAGCGCTGGGCGCTAATCACTTTGAAGATCATAAATCTCATATTATTTAAGCCTCTCCCCCAGTCTTTGTAGATGGCCTACATTTCAGGTCTGTTTCCCTCCCATGTTATGCTCCAGGCGGGAAGAGAAGGGTGGAGTGACCTGGTTAGACCCCTTACTTGCCTACCAATTCCCTGCTGTGGCTGCTCTCACCCTGAAAATGGGGAGGAGGGAAACTCCTGTGGAGTTTGAGGTTTTCTCGCAGTTTGTGGGTCAGCCATGTGCTTTATGAGAAAGCTGCCTTCTGATCCCTCAACCTATTTGGCAAACATTTCTTCCCCCCTCCCCTCTTCAAACTCTCCTCCCACCTGGATGCAACAGTAATTTGTATGTGAATGAGAGGGAAAAGGGTGTGTATGGAAAAAGAAGCATCTTCTGCCTTGCCTATCTGGTTTGGCTTTTTATTTAGCGAGTCTAATGCTGGTTGTTTCCTGTTTATATCAAGGGAAATGCAAAGAGACAGTAATAAACTTTCACCTTCAGTGCTGGCAACCTGGGGAGGGACATCTGCTTCTTGATGGTTTGGGATCATGTCCAGAGCATGGCAGGGACAGAACCGAGTACAAATGTGGCTTCAGAGCCTTGCCATGAAAGGGTGTCCAGTGGGACCAGGAAAAGGTCTGACTGAAAGTGGTGAAATGGGAACTTTTCCTCACCGTAACGTGCTGGTTCCTCAGCAGGTGATGCTGCTGCGGTCGTACCAGATCTTGCCTGGTTTATTTCCCTGTTGGTATATGCAGCCTTCAGCCTTTAAGGAAATATCGCACTGTTTGTTTTTGTAGATGGCTCTGAAGAGAGCTGTTCTGGAGAGCCAGGTAATTCACCCTTTGTCTGGAGTTAATCCCTGAGATAATACTGCCTTCTGTAATGCACACGTGGAGCTAGGGCTGATGGTTTTGGGAGAAGACAGGGCTTGTGTGGGTGTTGTGCATTGATCCACAGCTGGAGAAGCAAAATACACAGACGCTGCATCACTGATCTCTTCTCCATCAGGAAAGTGATGTGTAGGATCGTGTCCTTCCAGCAATGAGTCTCTGAGTGCCAGGGTGGAATGAAGGCTCAGATCTCCTCTCCTTCCAGAGGAGGGAATGAGAGGTCCCCTCCAAGCCCCTTTATGCTCTCAAGCACTAAGCTGCACCCCAGTGCTGGGAGAGAGCGTGTCTCTCTTGAGTCAAAGCTGAAAGGTTCTGTGTTACCAGCACAGGAAAGGCTTAGCAGGATCTGCGTGTGCTCTGTATCCAAATATGTCATGCAGTTTCATACCAGAAAAGGCTGACCCTTGCAGGCAGGCTGTCATTTGTTTAATGATAATGACAGGTTTGGTATTTGTATCAATGTAAAGGTGATCCTGCCGTGTGACTCTCCAATATTTCAGACAGACAAGCAGGCATTAGCGAGCAGCCCAGGGCTCAGCACAGCTTGAATTTTCCTGCTGGTTCTTTACTCCTACTACTTTATTTTCTTGGGTGTACACCCATTGTAATAAGGATATATATGTATTGCCAACAGGCTTCCTAGAAATAGGATCTTGGGATGGATTTACCTGGGAAACGGTCATAGCTTAGAGATGTATTGCTGGGGCAGGATGGATTTTCAGAACACAAAGGGAAGTATCCAGAACAAAATAAGGAAATAAGAAATGCAATTGAAGTGACCTCATATTTCATATGCACATT